TTCTTCATCTATTGATTTGAAGCAGCCATCTTCGCCACAAAGGCTGTTTATCCTTTTCACACGACGTACACATGTATTTATGTGCACGCGCAAGCACCGCATCATATACGCTGAGTATATGATAGCCATTGAGATGTTTGACTCGGCGAGCATTTGAACCACCGAGCCATCTCGCCAGCCAGCATGCGACAACTTACGTCGTCTACCCATTTACCAACCTCGAAAGGATGGACGGCTGGGTTGAAAATGGCGGAAATAGCGCTTTACAAGATGATTGTTTGATTGATTGATTGAACATACAACCACAAACACACACGTGTCTGCGAATGAACGTATCCTACACATTATTTGTAATGTAATGTGATGTCTTTCATGTAAAAATTTACAATTAATTCGTTAGTGGCAGAATCTCCCAATTGAAAAGAAAAACCTCTTGATGTTAAGATGCAAAAGTCTTTAATTAATCACCAACCGGTGAATCAAGAAACTAATTAGATTCTCAAATGTAGATTCGTGTGTGTGTGTGTGTGTGTGTGTGTTAAAATTGTTAGATGCTGTTATAATCTTAGGAACGCACGCACGCACGCACACACACACACACATACACACACACACACACATTTGATATTTTTTGAACAGATAAGAAAAAAGCTATCAAAACAAATTGCTTGAAAAATAAAATTTTTCAATCCACGTATCAGTCTTTATTATAATGATTCATTTGTACATTCATTCATTCAATTTTTAATCAATTCATTTACTCTCCAATTAATTCATTAACCAATTCATTCATTTATTCATTCATTCATCCATGAAATGATGTTGTTGGAGATGATGTCGAACAATGTCAGCAACCTCTCTCGATATATCGGGCTTTAGGAGGTCTTTTACCTGTCAATCAATCAATCAATCAATCAATCAATCAATCAATCAATCAATCAATCAATCAATCAATCAATCAATCAATCAATCAATCAATCAATCAATCAATCAATCAATCAATCAATCAATCAATCAATCAATCAATCAATCAATCAATCAATCAATCAATCAATCAATCATTCATTCAGCCAGCCAGCCAACCAACCAACTAATCAACAAACCAACCCAATTAACTAACCAGCCAACCAACTAAAAAACCAACCAACCAACCTGATATTGCATAGAAGCTTCATAGGCCACGATGATAGTGTTATCATACAGCATGATATCATGCTCAGATAGTAGCAGGATACTGTTTCTAACCCTTGATACTAGCTCGTGATCCTCTTTTGAAAATGGCTGGGTAGACATTTAGTATTATTTTCAAGAAATATTATCATTAATTATCATCTTAATTATTATTCTATAAGAATTAACAACAATAATATCTATAATAATTAATAACAATACACCCCAATGAACCTCAAAATTTTGGACATGACCTCCTGACTCCTCTTGCTTACCCTGCCCTAAGGGGTAGACCCAGATGTACCCATTGCTACCGAGTATGACCCCCACGTTGCAGATGAGGGTGTGGAAGTGGGCCTTGCGGTGCTTGATGAGAGAGGGCGAGACACTGAGAAGGAGGCCCTGACCCAGCTGTGAAGGGTAGTGGTGGTATGTTGTAAATCATGTTGGCGTCGTAATGTATTAGGATTACGATTAATAAATTATAATTAGCATTGTCGTCATCATTATGATCGTTTCCATTATCAACACATCATTATCATCACCATGGTTTCCGTCGTCGTCATCATCATCCTCATTATAATCACCTCATCATCACATCATCATCCTCATCATCGTCACCTTTCCGTGTTTAAGATTTTTTGTGTTGAGTGATAAGACCCCATCACTATATACTGATCTGACTTCCGCCTGATGATGATGGTGATATGAATGATGATGATGATGATACTGAAAATGATATCAGTGATAAAGATACCTATGAAAATGATGATAAAAGTATGGTGATGATAATAATAATAATAATTATGAACTAATCAATATTATTATTATTACTACACAATCTTCATCATCATTATCACAATCTTCATACCACCACCATCATCATCGTCGTCATCATCATCATCGTCCTCATCATCATCGTTACTTACGGTGATAACATCACCCTCCTTCATATATTCTCTCATCCATTTTTCATCTTCTTCAGATTTTCTGCGCTTGATGATGATAACGATGATGATAATGATAATGGTGATGATGATAATGATGATGATTATAACTATGGTTATAATAATAAAGATGATGACGATGATGAATAGCACATAATGACATTGAAGATATGAATCATTACAATCACCATTATCATAAAAACCCATCATCATCATCATCATCATCATCATCATGAGAAAGCCCCAACTCACTACACACCCCTCACCAACTCACAATCTCTCCAGCTGGAAGATTGACACATGACAGCGGCAGAAAAGCATCTAACTTGGCCTTGATATCGACTTTCCACCTTTTCTGGCTGACCTCAACGACCCGGCCTATTATGACGTCGCCAACTTCTCCATTGTATCTGGGGTTTTTTATTAATAATTTTTTAATAACTTTTTATTCTTATTAAATTTCAAAAAAGAAATTAGAAAAAAAACTAAAAAATTAATTAATTAACCTTGTTTTCAGTGGGTTGACAGTCACAAGTTTGCTGACGTACTCGACGACCCCAGCCACCGATGACCTCAAATAATTTTCATCGGCCCTCTCGTCCAGGTATGTACCGTGGCTTCTGTTTATTTTAGTTGGAGTGAGTGGTAGTAAAGTAAAGAAGTTCATAGTTTTAAAAAATTGTTAGGATGTAGAGAAGTAAATTATTATTTTTCTAAAAGTTTACTAAATTTAGTTAGATAGTTGGTTTGGAATTAGGTTATTAAAATGTATACACAATAAATAACTATATTATCATCAAGTATTAATTTTACTAATTTAAGAATTAATAAATTAATAAGAATAAGAACCAATGACATATCATCTAATAATATTAATAATAAATATGCCAAACCAAATGTTCGAATATAAATTTAATTAATTAATTAATTAGAAATAAATATCAAAATTAAGTTAGAAAAAGAAGAATGAAGTTGCTAATTGAAATAGAAAAAACAAATTGAATTGAAATAAAAATTGAAGTGAACTAGCCAGAACTAAGTGCTAAGTCATGAGGGAGGACATTAAAAATTGTTTTGAACTTATTTTAAAACTATTTCAACAACTTATTTTGGATGATTTTATAACGTTGAATTTGAACACTCAAATAATGCGGAACTAATTACTAAACTAACTACTAAAAAATAAACAAACTGCTAAAACCAAGAAAGAGTATTAAACACTAAACAACAAACACAACTAATAAACACACATGTGAACGATAAAATAAGAAACAGTTTAAAAACAGAGATTTTGACAAACTAACATGATATATTTTTCTTCCAACTGTTTCGTAATAATGTCCCCAGGAATGACAAACTTCCGGTTATCACTTTCAACTCGTTTCGCTTTCTTTGAGTGCCTCAAACACGCTAAACTCACTGATATCGAGGGAGCCGCCATATTGCTTGTTTATCTTTTTGTAAACAATAGAAAATACACTGACTGAAGTTAAAGCAGGACGACAAAGAACCACTGGATATAACAATATAGTACAACCACTGGATATAACAATATCAGGTTACCAGTAAAATATTTAAATAAGTTTTAAAATTACTATTAAAACTAATTATATTAAAATTATGAATTTGAAAGATTCTTTGAGAGAATAATTCATTCGGAAACCATGACGTCATTTTTATTTACGTTTCATTCGAACTTTCTCAAATTTGCTTTCGTATTTCGTGGCGTTAACCGACGTAAAAATGCTCATTAAAAAGTTTCGATAACGAACAATCTAATACATATGCTTAAAAGTTTAAAATGTTAAATGTGACTGTGGTATTGATATGGTATTTTAAACTAGTTAGTTTCAGCCAGATCGTATTCTTTACATTACAATCTTAGAAGCAAAAACGGCCCCAACTATGTGTAACATCACGCCTCTTCTATATTTTAAATTTATACTTGAAAAGGTTATAAGTTAACCACGAGTAGAAGAGGAGTGTTGATGGCGGGGGATTACGCACTAGCGCAAATGCTTCCGGCTTAAAGGTTATTATATAGTATAGTTCAATTTCTAACATAAAATTTGATAGATGTAGTATGTAATACATAAAAATATTTGTTTCAGATGAGTAGAATTTCGGAAACTTCGTGTAGAAACTCAGTTAAGTTATTTTTTTTCACAAAGTCTTACAGAAATAAAAAAAAATTTATGAACATTCCACTCTATCAAAAAATATCTACAAACAACCAAGGATCTGTAACCTTGATATTTTCTAATCATATTTTCTTTGCTGTTTGTTTCAATTTGAATAGAAGACGATTGTCTGGGCACAGAAGTTATAAAATAAAAAACAGATGACATTCCGAAATTTTCCTAGCCGTTACTCATGGCGAAAAAATTCAAAAGTCTATCCCCCTCCATAGCCATACCCTGCCCCCCCCCCCCCTATAAAAGATTCTGGACGATCCAGCCCACAACCGCAGCAAAAACCCATGTTATCTCTTACGTAAATTCTGACCTGACACTATCATACGCACCGACATGCCTCTCTAGATAAGATGTGTCCGACTGTTCACCCATCCATCCATCCATCCATCCATCGATCCATCCATCCATCGATCCATCCATCCATCCATCCATCCATCCATCCATCCATCCATCCAAACGTATTATAAACATTACAAATTACATGTTGTAATAATAATAATAATAATATAATAATAATATTATTACTATTATTGAGTTATTATTATTGAGTTATTATTATTATTATTATTATTATTATTATTATTATTATTATTATTATATAATAATAATAATAATATCTGCGATATCCTCATCATACGCTGTTTATTGTGATAGAAATTTGACGGAATGAATCAATGTAAAACTAATCTGTTCTCGTTGTACTCATTTCGTGTTTCTTTCACTGAATGACGAGCTACGTAGAATACGCTTTTATAATTTTTTTTTGTTTTTCTTTACCTAAACCATTTTTGATTTATTATTATTATTATTTATTTATTTATCTTATAATTATCTTACGTTATACAATATTTAATTTTAACATTTTATTGACATATTTTATTTTGACTATTTTTGATTTTACTGGTTTTCTCTGAATAATAAAAGAGTTTACATTATTATTATTATGGTTATAGTAGTAGTTGGTGTTTATGTAATTCATTTTGCTACAAACCTAACCCTACATACACATACATACATCAATACACACACACAAACAAATACACATACATACAAACATTGTACATGCAAACGGATGTAAGAATATACAAAGTTACGTACAAGTCAGTGTTCTGTATCCTCGAGATGAAAGAGTCGTCTTTTACATTTCATAACAACCTTCACAAGTCGAAATATGATTGTGAACACGATACAAATTTAAACAACATGCAAACAACACGCAAACAACATACAAACAACATTTAACTATATACGGTTAGAATACAACTTGCTAAAATAACATACATAGCGTATATACACACCCATATGGTATGAAACGAAACGGAGTTTAGCAACACAGAATCAGGAAGATTACCTTCTTGCTACAGAGGCACGATCAAATCTTGAAAACTACCTTGTCTGATCATTTAAAAATAGATTATTTTCAATTATCACGTCAAATCTTTATAACGGAAAGATCAAATAGAAAAATTATATAAAAAATTTAATAAAAAATAATAAAATGAAGGAAATACCTAGATTGTTTCAAGTGTTTTTCTAAATACAAACACACGGAGATCAAATAAGATCAAAATCCAGAACCCAATAACCTTAAAATCGAAATCCAGAACCCAATTACCTTAAAATCGAAATCCAGAACCCAATAAACTTAAAATCGAAATCCAGAACCCAATGACCTTAAAATCGAAATCCAGAACCAAATAACCTATTCCAAATTCTCCCTTCCAACCACACGTTATTCTTGTATGGTCATGTAACATGTTAGAGTTCCATCGATACATAGATACACAACACGCATGGAAAATTTGAAAATTCATTTATTTTCATTCTAATTGTTTTTGTGGCATTTTTGAATACTTAGACTTAAATTTTATCTGATTTTGTAAAAAGTAGTTGACGCTGTGGTATATCTTAACTTTTAAATTGCTCTGTGTAAACATTTCTTTTTCATAATAGATACATATATGCATGTGAATTATTATACACAAACAAAACTATACAAAACAAACATACATTGATAGCTAATCCTGAATCTCACAAACTTATATTTATAAATATCTTTATAAACCAAAAAAAGCAATCACGTAACGCACACACCCACACAAACACACACCCACACACACATACACACACACACAAGCAAACATTTACGTATCAAACAGATGCAACTATTTAAACACTTTCAAACATATCAACACATTTTTTTTAAACAATCTTGCACACAAGCAAAATTGACATGCAAACTCAAAAAGATACAGCAAACCTACAAACAGAGACAAACCTACAAACACTGACAAACCTACAAACACAGACAAACCTACAAACACAGTTAAATCTACAAACACAGACAAACCTACAAACACAGACAAACCTACAAACACAAAAAGGCACGACAAGCATAAACATACAAAAATCATCCAAAAACCATCATTCGCATCCGCCAAAACCATCAAACATTTGAACGAAAACAAACATACATACAAACTTCTAAACATACAAGCATTCATACAAACAAACATACAAACAAACTAACAAACCAACAAAGAGATATTTCGACTTGACGCCAATTGTTTTAGTAGCAGACGACACACAACACCACTTAGTTGATATACAATTCTTACACTCACACTTATGTTACATTTGTTGATTGCACACACACACACACACACACACACGAAAACATATACACACACAAACACACACTTATACAATACATAAAAACATACATACATACATACACACACACATACATACATACATACATACATGCATACATACATACATACATACATACATACATACATACATACATACATACATGAAAGAATGTACTTACCAATTGAGAAAATTGAGACTCATCAAAGGATCTCTAAATATGCATACATTGCAATGTTTACTTCACTCGTTCATTCACTCGAGGATCGATTATTGCAACAGTTTATTCTACGGTTTACCCAAAAAGTATGTTGCACAGTTACAACTAATTCAAAATCGGGCTGCCAAGTTGTTAACTGGTGGTTCATATTTTGATCATGTTACTCCTATTCTCTTCAATCTTCATTGGTTGCCCGTTCAACAAAGAATTGTCTTCAAAATTGCTCTATTGGTGTATAAACGCATTAATGGATTAGCGCCGAAATATTTAATGGATCGAATTGTTCCAAGAAATGCACCGCTACAGTGTCAGAAGTTACGGTCAAACGATTTAGATTTGTTAACAATTCGACAAACTCAGCTTGCTGTTGGTTGCAGAGATTTCGCTGTTATGGGACCGAAGATTTGGAACAGTTTGCCGGTTGACTTGCGAAATCGTGGGTTGCCAATTACTGAATTTCGAAGAAAGCTAAAGAACCATCTTTTCAGACAAACTCAGTGCAAGATGGCAAGCGACCAGACGGTTGTACTCTTACTCCCTGGAGAGCCGGTAAATGTTTGGCTTGTGATGTTACGGTTCCTGGTACCTTGGCCGAGCGCCACGTTCACCTTACCAGCAAAGAATGTGGTTTGGCTGCAATCAGGGCATCGGACGAAAAAATTAAAAAATATGAACACGCCCTGCCTTCCTTAGATTTTTTGCCAATATGTATCGAGGTCCTTGGACCCATGGACCCCAATACTTCAAAATTTATTAAAACATTGTGTAAAATGATTGGTGTTCGGTCAGGTGACAACAGAGAGTTCTTTTTTGCAATAAACCACATCTCATGTTTGTTGCAGCGATTTCTGCGTGTTTGTGTGTCGGAAAATATTAATTTAAACGCTGACGTGTGAGACTAACGATACATTAAAGTGTTAACCCTTTTAATCAGATGTTTGACTGTTTGGTGTCATTCATCACGATTTGGTTTTAACATACATACATACAAACATACACACACACACACACACACACACGCACACACACACACACATACATAAACATACAATTGAAAATTACATACACTACGCACAAAACATTGAAAAATATTCAAAATCACCAACATCTGACTGAACCAAATTAACTTACGTACATACAAGACAAAATGCAACACATGTATATATGGAAAAATGAAACAAATACAGACATAAACAACAACACATACAAAAACGCATGCGTTTAGATAAGCTCCTGCACACACATACAAACACACACACATATACATTTATACACATACACACGTTTAAATAAGCTCCTACACACACTTACACACACAAACATGTAGCATCCACACTAATGACCACACTAAGTTAAATATACATGCAAGGGGACGGACATACAAACAAACATACCAAGAAACATACAAACAAACAAAAACAAACAAAACTAAAAACAAACAAACACAAGGCAACAACAAATCAACAAACATACAAACAAACAAACACATACAAACAAGCGAACACAAACAAGCAAACACAAACAAAAAACTCAAATAAACCAAAAAAGCAACAAACATACAAGCAAACAAACAAACCATCCAACAAACAAACAAACACACAAACAAACATACAAACAAGACAAACGCATTAATAAATAAACACGACAACACACTCAATCTTCACCCAAGGGTCTACATAGGTACATTAATTTCTGCAAGATGTTGCTTGCGGTAGTGCTGGTTTTTGGTGGTGCTGCTGTCAAGTTGTAGTAGCAGCGGTAATAGTAGTAGTAGTAGCAGCAGTAGCAGTAATGCTAGTAGTATTAGCAGTAGCGGTACTAGCTGTAGTAGTAGTATTGGTCGCTTGTGGTGGCTGTGTGGCTGGTTTTTGGTGGCGTTGGTTGTAGTAATGGTAGTAGTAGTAGTTGTTGTAGCAGTAGTAGTTGTTGTAGCAGTAGTAGTAGTAGTAGTAGTAGTAGTAGTAGTAGTAGTAGTAGTAGTAGTAGTAGTAATAGTAAAAGTGGTGGTAGTAGTGGTGGTGGTGGTGGAAAAATCACAAGCGTATTATTTTCTGCAGTTTCAAAAAGTTTTACAACGTGAAAATTATCGTTTTCACTGATGGAAACATTACAAAAGTCATCAACCCCATCAACACAAGTTGCATCATCACCATCACCATCTTTCTCATCATCATCATCATCATCCTCGCCATCTTTGACGTCATCTCATCATTATCATCACCATTTGATGACGTAACTTTGCCATTTCCACCATCAGTAAAAATGACGTCACTATCTGAGTTATAATCATCATCATCGTCGTTGCTATCATCATCAAGAGCATCAACACAAACTGGTCTACTTTACTTCCGCCACAACGCAACTTCCGTTTGTACTGATAATGATGATGATGTTTTTATTGTTATTGCTATTATGCTGATGATGGTGATGATGTCAATTTGTTGTTGTTGTTGTTGTTTGGTTGTCATTATTCCTTTTTATTATTAACGTTGTTATGTTTTAATGTTATGGCTGGGGATGTTTCACTACATTTTTGTTATTAATGTGATTATTATTGTTATTATTATTATTATTGTTGTTGTTGTTGTTGTTGTTGTTGTTGTTGTTGTCGTTGTTGTCTTAGCTTTGATGTTGTTATTATTCTTACTCATATTATTATTTTTGTTGTTGTTGTTATTATTTTTATTGTTGTTATTATTATTTTTGTTGTT